TCTGACATACATGAGAGAGAGAAAAGACTGCAGAGCACCCTTAATGGATCAGTTGGCAAAGACACAACTTAGGTGCAATGGAGCTACACATGAGGTCACAGGATTGACCTTTGATCTGCAGAGTTAGATCCAAGCTAAATCAATAGTAAGATCACCATAATGGCCTCAGTGTCCCTGGGCTCGGAGGGGAAAAATTCAGTCAGGGTTTCTTCCCATGCTTGCTATCAAATGACCTCTTCTGTAATGTTAATTTGTGTGGATGTTGGATAAGATCAGGATTAACGTTGGATATCTGCTTGGTGTACCTGTGGATGGCCAGGATATGTGAAACCCATTTGTCACCATTGGGAAAGGCAGGAAAATACTACACGGAACATTGGAAATCTCAAATAAAAGTATGAGAGGTAGAGAAAGGACATTCTAGGATCAGATGTGATCTTTCATCTGAATTGAAATCTGAATTATGTGAAGAGTTAGTTCAATTAAGTGTGAATGTATTAAATATTGAGATCAATTTTGTAATGTTTCAATTTAGCACGACTGGAGATGAAGAATGAGGTCTACACTGTAGGGTTATGGAAGTGATTGTTTTATAGCCATAAATTTATGTCCCACAGTGATTTCACTCTCAAGACTTTCAGACACTATTATTAGTGTTGTTATTATGAACAGATTTTAATAGTTTACTGCAAATGAAAAAGCATAATGTACGACGTCTAACAGGTCAATAAAGAGAATCATTTTGGTCGTGTCAGTCAGTATCAGGAACAAACTGCAAACTCCACAGTCATCCTTTAATTAGTACCACACATTTTCAATTAGCGTTTGAAAAGACCACACTTGGCTTTTCCACTGTGTTTTTATAATGTGTCAATTTGTTTCACAGTAGGTTTAATACTGCTACATTCTTTAAAAATATATATATTTTCTGAAAAATGGATCGTATTTCTGGAAAGTTTGAAAGGAACAAATTCCAGCTATCCTTTCAATTTAAAACGGCTTCAATAAATCACAGTTAGCCCATGTATGCTGTTTTTAACCTCCTAACTTACTCAGATGTCCACTTAATTCTTGTGTGAAGCACTTTTTCCAGTGTAGTAGGTGTTATTTCAATAATGCTTATAATAATAATAATAATCCTCCTCTAATGTTAGTTAATAGTCACAATAAAAATAACTCTTACATTTGATATAGCGTCTTCTCACTTGATTGGGTTGTCTCAAAGAGCTTCACAGGATTTTCCTGTATTTATTGTATTGGTTGAATGTGGCAGCCAATTTGCGCACAGCAATGTCCCACAAACAGCCGTGAAGTAAATGATCAATTTTATTTGGGAGATTTTTGGCCTTGACACCGGGAGAAACTCCCTTCTCTTTTTGAAGTGCTGTGGGAGCTTTAAAGCATATTGGATGGGACCTCGGTTTAATGTCTAATCTGAAGGACAACACCTCCAACAGTGTAGCAGGTCCCCAGAACTCCTTTAGAGTTCAGCTTAGATTGTGATTTCACACTCCTCATGTGGGGCTCAAACCCACAGCCTTCTGACTCCCAAACAAGAGTGCTACCAATTGAGCCAGACTGACACCTTTGTATTTATGCTGCAGAGAGAGAGAGAGAGAGAATCCACTGTGATTCCAGGAGTAAAACATGTATCAGAAATCCTGAGTAATACATTCTATTGGTTTGACACCAATCATCCAGTATGAAGTCAGTTTAGAGGATACATATTTAAATACATTTCTTGCAATCAATACTATTTCTGCAACAAGATTTTTTTTATTGACATGACACGTAACCTCCTGGGAGCTATAGTTCTCTACAGTTCAGTACTTCGCTTGTGTGGTGCTAAATGATCTACAACTCCCAGAGTACTCAGCTGAAAATATTCCTGTCTCTCTTGCTTCTTGGAAAGGGAGGTTGCAACTGGTTGGGGCTTTGCAATGTTGACTGAAATACAGTGTCAGACTGTCAGGGGTTGAAGAGAAGAAATCTTACAGTTGCTGATCTTGAATTAAGCTGCAGTTATCAATTACGGGCTGAGATGATCAAATACTCAACGGAATGCAATGGATCTTATGCTGCTGGGCCGAGAAATGTCATTGTTGAAAGCAATCGACCAGAGTTGAATAATGGAAGTGTAAGTTGGAGAGATATTGCAGAGTTTTGTTCAACAATTCTTTAGGGTCAGGAAGAAACTTTGCGGAAATTTCCATCAACTGTTTCAAAAGAATAAACTGTGAAGGGACTACTTTTGCTTCCAAGTTTTCCCAGTAGAAATAGAGAAAAATAAATGTTTATGAACAATACCTTCACTAATCAAGGGACCCTCGCTTTAGCGGCCTAGATAGTCAAGATAACCTTACACAGGTAAGTCCATTATTTTAAAGGGATGAGCAAGTTTGACCAGCCAGGGATCCTGTCAAGTGCTGCCTAACCCAAGGAAAGGTCACTACTAACGTTTTGCTGTACACTCTCCACAACCGAGCATTCAAGGGATGCACATCTCCAGAGATAGCTTCCCAGATCTGTCAGAGATCCCGCTAAACTGAATGGAGCTGCCTTCAATCCTACCCACAACAATAGTCACACGAGTGGCCTGAAACAGGCCTACCTACAAGGTAAAGCAAGTATTCTATGCTGTAGGTAATTATATAACTATATAACCATAGTATATTTTGCTCCCTCCAGACTATTCCTTCTTCAGTCGGCACAATCTATGACTGAGCAAAATTGGTGAAGTGAAATGTGATGATGGGGCTAATGCCTCAACATGATCTATCCTTTTTTGCATACCGCTCTTGAGGGCGTTAAGCAAGTTGGAGAGAGTCTATGACAGAAAAGACAAATGTATGTAATCTATTAGAAGGGATGCACTTTATTTCATGGTGTTTCAACGATGGGGAAGGAAGGTTGATTATTTTGTATTTAATTCAACGTGTGTGTGAGAGACGGAGGAAATGGAATAAATTATCAAGTGATATCACTGGTGTGGAAATTTATTTCTCCATTTCGAGGGAAGCGGGAATTGCACAGGGATTTATATATTGTTTCTTCATTTCTTCATCATCCTATTTATCCATTTCTCCTCGATGCTGAGATCAAGTTTCCTCCTGGTGCCAATTCATGCTCAAGTACCTCACTCATGGAGCCATAGTTTTGTTTGAACCCAGAATTGAGTGCTTTAGTGGAGAAGGCATCATATCCAAAGTTGTTCAGGCCCTCACTAAATGTCCACCGGGGTTACTGAATAATGATAGGGAGCTAGAGGCATTGCTGTTTTTTTCCTGCTTAACCCAGAGGCAGTTAGTCCAATTGGAGCACCCAAAATGCTTCCTTGACTGAGATTAAATAACGAGATCAGACCTGGGACGTCTCTGGCCTAGTTTCACACTGAGCAGTAGCTTTCCCACCTGAATCAACGAGGAAACCCGTTGGCTTTCTTTCAAAACAACTCAAGCTTTGCTTAATTGTTTTGACATCATCTGAATCCCTTCTCGTCCATAGTTTTTCTCTGCCGTGTAGAATGCATGTACTGCCATGAGGATAATAAGAGAATAACGAAGAGGGTAGGGATTTTCTGTGACATGTTTACTGCTGGCACACTCTCCATTACATTGAAATAAACATTCACTTAATGGTTATTAGGTCTCTCAAGTTCAATAAATTTATCAGAAGCTCATGAAATATTCTTGATACATTTATAGATTTTAGATAATGTTCCTCCTTTTCAATTGTCCATAACTGTAACTGTTGCAAAGCAAAAGTATGAAATGTAGGCCTATCTGGGGAATCTGTTGAGTATGGAAACAGCTTAGAGCTTATTGTATACAGGGATAGTCAGCAACTTATAGAATACAGAGCTAGCCAGAAATTATTTTGTATGGAGCTAGCCAAGAAACCATTGTATGGACGATTAGAGGTCTGTTTACCTGAACTGACAGGCTCCAGGACACTACCCTGCGTGAAGGTCGCTATAATATAAATATTATAAATGCATGTTGTTGTTGACAGCTACCTAGCTTGTACCAGATACCAATTATTTTTCCCTTTCCACCATAGTAACCATTGCACCAGAATACAGTTTTGTACACTGAACTGAAATCATTTGTCATCTGTGAGTGACACCTCGCACACAAAGGGTTATGTTAGAGTGAACAAAAGTTGATAGTCCAAAATATTTTTTGTCAAGTGTGTGGTTTGTAGGACGGAGATAAAATCCATACTTAGCTTTCATTTGTGTAACGATTGGCAAGTTCTAAGCATGACTGCTTGACAATTTAATAGCATTTGTGGTTAGTTGTGATCCTGATATGTAGGAACAAACTGCAATTAGGTGAAAGAAAAAATGCTGCGACCCTTTCTTTTAGAGATACTGAGTATTTTAACTCTTTGAAGTTATACAATGTATCATTTGTATAAGTTCTTTTTTCCTCTCTCGAAGGCAGTGACTTCAGCTGGAATACAGTTCCATGGGCGCTAGTCATAAGTGACCAGTTATCACATCTGAACACCAGACAATGGGCATCATGTAACTGTGAAGGGCATCACAGCTAAACCCAATGCTATTCCCACCCAAAGTCCAGACAAACAGGGCAGATTGGATAAGAGCAGGAAAACTGGTTAATTTCTCTCACCCGACCCCAACTTCCTTCCCCAAGGGTACTGAGGCCAATGTAGCATTCAAATCCTAATCCAAGATAGACCTGATTGAAAGTTGGCAACTTCTTGGTTTGTACAGGATAATTTCACACAAGAGCATCCTCAAGTCAATGGGAAGGAATGGAAAATCCAATTTTGATTCAATAGATTCTTTGCCACACTTGTATGATAGCCATTGCACTTGTGATCCATTATGCTATGGATGAACTAGCCACGTATATTCAGACCGAAGGTTACAAGCTTCTTTTCCAATTACGCAAGACTGCATCTTTCCACTTAGGCATTGGTTTGCTAGTATAACCGAGTCACTACTAATGTCCAGGTCTATCTTCTCTTTTCAGATGTGACAAAAGAGCCTTGGGTGATTGACAGAATTGTCCCAGACATTCTGAAAGGAGAAAAGATGGATTCCTCAACCAGCACCGTCTCCACCACTCCAAGAGAGGCAAGAAACCCAATTCAAGGGACTGCGTCCAGTTTCTTCATCCCATCATCTGCCACAATGCTCATAACACTAGTACTGCTGTGTCCTTGGCTGTTCCAGTTGTGATACATTGTGGGTTCATTCACCCAGCTTTACATGTACAGTGTTACAGTTCCATGCGGCCACATACAGCTTTTTGTTGGAGGCAGAGCAACACATTAGATCTTGTAATATAGTTGAAAGCTGCAATATACTATAGGAATATACCACCCTAGAAGGTTTGCTAAAGCAAGACATAGCTAACGCGCAACATACGTCAAGTGGAAAAAAAATGTATATGAATTGTGAAAAAAGGTAGATTTAGGGATTAAATGAATAGTGATGTACAGGCTACTTGTACTTAATCACTTTAAGAGCAAATTCCACCAAGGTTCAATCTGTAAGCTAATTTTGTGGACATCAGCTGAGTGGCAGTAGATGGACTACAATCTGTCTGAGTTAGGGAAGGTGGAAATCAACTTGACTTCCCACTCCCGATAGCCGTCCAATGACCATTTTCGGACAGTGTATCTTGAAGTTATCGGATCAGGACTTGATTGATTATGATGCCTTACACTGTTATCAACTCTTCCTATCTGGGCTCACACATTAGGAATTTGTACCTGACTAGGTACTGCAGGCAGCTAGTGCTGATGGAACCTTATCCCAGCAAGAGTTAGTGCCTTACGAAGAAAAATTGGGAGGGGAGAGTAAAGTTTGCTTAATTTAACCCTTATATTCTCCCATTTAGAGTATTTCTAAGGCACTGCTTTTCTGTACAGTATAAGCCACTGAGCTATTCAGCAATGTTTCGACTATATTAAGTGGAGCACTTTATTGTTCATAGTCTGCCCCCAATAATCATTTATACAACTGCTGAACTTTTCTTCAGTTGTTTTATTTGGGAGGATCTGTTTTTACCCTAGTCTTAAAATGAAAGATTACATGATAAGGAACAGAGCCGTACAGATCCTTATGTTTCCAATTTTGACCACTAGTCTGTGCTGAGTTTGCCAGTCTCTACTAGGGTGGCAGGAGGGATGCTTCAACTTTTTAGTACTTCTGTATTTGGGAAGGGAAAATTCAATCGGAGGTCCTGCTCCTGGTGACCCCATCTGAAAAGTGTGCATGTAGACTTTGGGTGAGAATAGCATCCCATTTCACTCTGATGTCTTCTGTGGTCAAACAAATAGCCTGCCTTCAGCACTCGTGAAGTATGCGTCTAGATAAGGATTGTTCACTTGGGCGAGATGGGGAGGTGTTGATAAACACCACCACAACAACAACAACAACAAAATTACATTTGTAAAGCGCCTTTCACATTGGGAGGATGCTAACAGTACTTGAGGAACTGTATCCTAGTGACAGAGACTCCTGAAGGGAAAGCAACTACTAAACACAGTTTCCCTCTTTTCACATTAATTTGGGGATCAAGCAATAAGTTTAATTAAAGTTTTATTTCAAAGCAAGAAATCTCATGTTACAAATTTGACTTGTTTTTTTTAAAGAAGAATTGACTAACTGTGTCTTTGTGCATTACATAAGAAAGAGTGGAACTAGAGAAGGCCTTCTTACCCCAAGTCCACACTTTACACAAACTATTACCTAAAAGATAGCTTTCTGTTCAAGAGCTCCTCAAGGGTGGTGGCCAGCAATGCTTATCTGCAATGTTGAGCCGTGTCTGCCCAGCCGATGATCAGTGAAGCCCTTTATTCTCTTTGTGTTTTTTCCAGCTGAAGGATGAGGCTTGGAATCTTTCTGCAACCACATCTGGCAGGGCCCACAGGAGGTGTAACCCCCAACAAGGCATCCCACCCAGTAGCAAACTCTTCCCCCAGGATGAGGCGTGGTGGAGGAAACCATCTTAGTCATTATTGTTGCCTTCATCAGCATTCTACCTCCACACGGTCATCTCCTGGAGCCATGCAGCTGTTGCTGGGCTGTTGTTGTCAATCATATCCAGATGTTGGTTTCTTTACTGTAGAACGTCACTTTGTTATATTTTTAAAAAAGAGAAATTGAAAAACAGCTCTTTATACAAACATGTCTTGATAGATTCAAAGGTGCATGTGAAACCTGTTGAACCTTCAGGGTATGTTTGAGTTTAATGTGACTTGGAAGAATAATGAACCCCCATTCTTCTGTCATGGCAGAGTGTGCACATATCGCAAATGAGCTGATTTGTTATCTTATACTGCTGTATAGCTATGTGCAATGGGAAACATGATTAATACTTCCCATCCTGCATTGTGTCAAGAGCCTTCAGAAACCAACACTTGCTTTTGCAGTTCTGAACATAAAATCATAAACTTTTACAGCACAGAAACAAGCCATTTGGCTCATTAAGTCCTCACTGGTGTTTTTCTCTATGTGAACCACCAAATCTAATGCCACTCTCCTATCCACGCTCTTTTTTACACCTTTCCTCTTTTTTGAACATCTGTATTTCATTTTGAAAGATAATTTACACACCCAATTTCAACACAGTTGTGCAGTGCCAATATTGTTACTGAAGAGTTTGATTCTAAGATCAACTTATTTCTAACACTTAAAGGTATGTCCATTGAAAGTTTATGGGCATTAATTACACCATGAGAAAGTTTTCAGTGGATCATGGGTGGTGAGCACAGTCCAATTTTCATGCACTGTGCTTGTGCATTGGTGCAACATTTGTACTGTGAGAACCACCTGCTCCAGGTGATATAAGGAGTGGTGCAAAACAATCATTAACAGTCACTCAACTATAATTTAAGCAACATATTTGACAGCAAATTGGCACCAAAATTGGGGAAATTTGCTGCTAAGTGTGCAAAAATGAACGCAGCGCAGAGGAGCTCCACAAACAGTGTGCACAGTGCTGATATCTTTGATATCTATCATATCCCAAGCATATGAATTTTAAAGTGTCTCTTCTGTCAGCAGATTGGGGGTATCCACAGAACCACAAGGTCCTCTGTTTATTCAGAAGCAAAAATATACTACAAAAAAATGGTTCTTAGAAGAAATCCTCTTTTCCATTAATGCTCTTTTTTCCTCTGGTGCCTGATTTTGCTCATGTGCTCTATACAACGCAATGTCTTGTGTTAGGCTGCATGCTATTTTGCTCCATCCATTAGCTTTAACGAACGAGTTGCTATGTGCTTATAAATAACTGTAATGGCATCTTGTATGTATAATTTAATCTTAAATTTATAATGGAACGTGATTTAGAATTTTAAATTGCATTACGGTTCTTTATAAGCACACAGCAACAAATTGTTCATTTAGGGAATTGGGCAGAAGGATAAGTCCACATTACAAATTCTGTGCATCCAACACATGAGCTAAATATCCACCGGGACTTTTAGTTATTCATGTATTAATTGTATAAAATTTTGCAACTTATTGCTGCTCAATCTAAAGTAAATAAGGCTTTTTTTTTAATCTACCAATTCCAGTATTCTAACTTTCAAAACTACTTATAGCCTAAAATGGCTCAGTGGATAAATGAGTGGTGTGGAGTTGAGGCATACGACAGGGGATGGAAGGTTAATTCCCTGTGCTGATCTCAGTCAGGTTCATCCTAAGTTTGAAGCTTTATTTTGCGTGCAATTTTCTTTAAAAAAAATGGCTCCTTGGTTAGGTGTTAAAGCCACTGTCTGATACACTACTGAGCACAGACTGACAACTCTTACAGTCTAAGCTCTGACATGAAGAATGACTGCTTGTGTGAGGTGGCCCACAGAGTGACCTACATCTGTGAAACCACACTCCAGCATGAGTCAGTGCCTTGGGGAGGAGATAAGAGAAAATGAGAAGAAAGAAAATCCTGATTTATAACATTGATGGAAAAATGGATTCTGCTCCTGGAACATCTGTACAGTAAGTATTCCAGTGGTCACTTTGGAATTCCAGTGGTCACTTTGGATTTGAAAACTTCATTTCAACAGAATGGAAAACACTCCTTAAAAATCTTTAAGTTTTTTTTCCAAAATGGAACCTCTATTCAATCACTTAATCTACATTTCCGAAAGCTCAATGTTGCCATGAATGCTAACAGGAGCTGTGCGCTGTTTTTTATTTAAAAATTGAACTACCCAGTTACAGTGAATATTCTTTTGTCCTTTTGGAAGACAGAATTTCCTCTGGTTTCAAATTGTTCATCATAAGGATTAGTAGTTTGAATCCAGTACTTGTGCAGCAATCGCTCAATATACATTGAATGCTCCTACCTGCTATTCAGTGTGTCAACTTATCTGGAGTCACAACATTTACATCTTCAGAGATTTTTCCATGCATATGTGTGATTGTTACAGAATTAGAGAGATTAAAAGAAGTTGTTTCACTATAATATATTGCAGCTTTGAAGAGTATCACTGAAGGGAAGCTGATGATAATATGTATTTGTCACACCTTAGCAGGAAGGGTAACAAAAACAACCACACCTACACCAACGCTGCCCTTTAAGTGCTATTCCGATCTCTTTGTTTTGGCTGTGCAATTGTATTTTTTATGACTTGTGACATTGTCCTTAAGAAAATGGCTGTGCAACCACCTTTTAAAAAATCACTATTGCAAATAAAATTAATATTTTGTACACTTTATATTTATCCTGTATTATGTAAATTGCAGTGACTGGTTATATTGGAAAATGATGCAGCACGCAGATATTGAATGACAATAGGTTATATTCCAAGCTCCCACTCTTGGGTCACTGCCAACATGAACAGATACAGATAGGAATGCAATTAAGTTCACATTCAGATGAAATGGTAGGTTGGTTTGCTGTACTTTCAGCCTCTTGAGAGTTGCTTTCAAATCCAGTTCAGACTGATGGGTGAAAGTCCCATTTCGCTGTCGTCTCTGAGTATCCTCAGTGAGATGAGGTTGGGGGCAGTTTTAACCCATTTCCAAGTGAGAGTATGGCTACACACCAAACTGTTCACAATTTCTTGGTAATTGGTAGTCTCATTCAAAAAACCTGCCTGAATGTGTTTCAAGTCAACTCTGCTTTCCTGGTTTGCCATATCCTTCAATATCATCTCTCTTCAGAAATGCATCCATTTGCCTCTTGAAACTACTTATGCTGTCTGCTTCAATACCACTTTTCATGTAATTTATTGCACTTGTCTATTATACTTTGTGTAAAAAGGCTCTGCCCAACTTTCCCTTTCTTGCTCCTATCTAAATTTAACTTGTGCTTCCTGAATGCAGACATATCCTCTTCTTCTCTTTGAAGTCTATTTTATGAGTTGTGTAAACTATTTGTAAGTACCTATGTATTATGTGAGTTCTGTGAATATGTGAGTACAAAGAAAATACAGGTTCCTTGAATTTACAAAATTTCCAACGGATGAAAAGATTTGCGAATGAAAAGCTTTCTCAAGTGTGATTCCTGAATGACTTACTCTCAGCACAGGTTTCAGGAAGTAGAAGGAAAAATATATTATTTATTGATAATTTCTCAGCCCAAATATATGCAGGTTTTCAACCGCAGCCCCATGTTTTAGCATTCTCCTTTTCAATACTAATAAGCACATTGTCAAACATTTCTTATGCTTAAATACAGGTGCTATTGAGATAATTGCTGTGTGCAATTGGCTGCTGCGTTCGCCCACAAATATACAGTCAATTCACTTTACAGTGTGTTCTGTGAAGCGCTTTGGGACGTCCTCCTGACGTGAAAAGTGCTATATCAAATGCAAGGATTATTATTATTAATTTGCCTCAAGTCAGTTTTTATCAGGAGACTGAGCCAATGTGTTTCAGTTGTTTTTACCTCTGAATTGCTTACTGCTGAATATAGTCTGCACAAGAGAGAATAGGGTATATGATTCTACTCTTTGCCAATAGAACAATAATATGGTGTTTAACTACACTTTGTTGCCCATGACCCCTTCACTTGTGGCCCTTGACAGTATTGCTGCATCATGTACTTCTGAACCCCCATTCATTCCAGTATCACTTGGTCATGGGTCGAATGTAAATGTTATGCTGGCAAAGCAGGGGATCTACTCCAGCAAAATGAAGGGAGCTTTACATCTTGCCTGGTTTTGATGGGGCATTGTAGAGGGATTACAGTGCATCTAACCCATAATCACACTTAATCTGAAATGCTCATGTTCCCCTATCTTAAGCACAGGAAACTCAATAAAATGAAAGCAACAGAAGATTTTTTTAAGCCATATCAACAGGAAATAATAGAATATGGAGAGGAAATATGAGGGTAATTATAGATAATTTTCTTCTCATAGTTTTAGATCATTGAGCAGGTGCATCTTGGCTTTGTAGATCAATCTCAAATGTAGCAAAGTTATTATCTTTAAGTGATCAGACTTGTAATAGTTTTGTATGCACGTACGTCAATTTTCTTGATGATAATTTGGCAATAGTTGATGGTTTGCACCAGACTGAGCCTGGTTTAGCAACAGAAAGATCCTAGAGAAATGTATCAGAGGTCAGCAAAGTTTTCCAATTAATTAAAGAACAG